ATAGAATTTGCAATCCATGTACATGGTAATCATGAAAGCCTATGGTTCGAAAAAACGTTGGTGAAACTTTTGTAAGAAGGATTACACACTCACCTCTAACCTAGAGAGAAAATTTTCAAATGAAATTATTTTGATTGAAAACCGAGTTTTAAGTATGCTATTCGACCCAGTTTTATCTGCCGATCTCAAATATATTATTATTTTTGCTAGAAAATATATGGGAAGTGAGAAAGGAGCAAAATAAGTGAAGTAACGAAGGTTTTATGTACTGCCCGTATAAATACGGGCCCCGTCACCAAAGGGTTAAGTACAAATGCCACCTTCGGCACTACAAAAATATAATCTGCGACCGCTGTTTTCTCGAACAGTCAATAACTGCTCTTTAAAATTTAATCAGCAACATAATCCAAGAAACAAACGAGTTACAAGGTATGTTGACTAATCAGTATTTTGTATCGAGTGTTTACATTTTTTTGTATTAGATTATCCTCAATAAAACAACCATCCTTCATAAACTCGAAACTAAGGAAAACCGTCTCAAAAAAGGTGATTAGTTCCCTATCCAAGCTCAATCCGAACACTAGTTTGTTAACATTCCCTAAAAAACACATTTTACGATAGGTTCAGGTGTATGGCTTGGCAGATTTGAAACGCATTTCTGGAATGGTTCAGTATTGTATCATCAACGGTGAGGGGGGTATACATATCTCATACAGCGATACATATCCCATATCTCTGAATTGATTTGTGTACAGCAGCTGAGTATAAGTTATTAAAACGGTATGGTGTAGGCGAATATTTCAAATACAATGATGATCTATTGTCAGATTGTACGTATCTATACAAATCCCTCCTAACTAATCTATAACATTTTAAGAGTTTTATGGGCAAGGTTAAGAATAAGAATTTGAGAATAATTGCGACTATCATGTTAAGAATTATAATAAAATTCGTATTATTATGTTTATTATTATTAATTAAAAGTTATATTATTAAAACTTTTATTAAAATTCTTAACATGATAGCCGCAATTATTCTCGAATTCTTATCCTTCTAACTAACAAAATAAAGTTTTTCAAAATCGAGCCAAACATGATTGTATAAGACCCTCTAATTTTTGTCTTTTAGTCAGTTTAGATTTGAATATTCGTGCAAGCGAAGATATCGAAAGCGAGTGTTTTGATTTGAAGTTTTCGGTGCGGCGACTTAAATCACTTTCATACTTGCCAATAGGTGCCGATCGTTCGAAACGGTCGATCCAAAAGTATCACTTGACAATTTGTTTCAAAAAGAGAGAAGATATACTCAGCAATGATGTTCGTCGTTTTCAATAAAAAGTCATTTTCTTTTAGAAAAAAGGCGGTGGTTGCGCTTATAGTTTCGTTAGAAATTAAGGGTCAGCTTTCTTAGTAAACTTTCTTATATAAACTTACATGTGAATCACAGATATTAATTTTTCAATTACACCTTTTGAATAGCAAAGTTAATCAGATGTCAACTGCGCACTGCAAAGATTGGTAGCTGAGGTTCTAGCTATGAAATAAGCTACGTAGATAATTAATTTAAACTGAAAATACCTAGGTGAAAAATACGTTTCGAATCTTTTTTTTAACCTACATTTATATTCTACAGCATGTTATTCTTATTATCGTATCAGCTGATTCATTATCCTATCATACATTCTACTATAACTTTCATCATATCAAGCATTATACTATAAATTTACTACGAAGGATATCATCATGATGGAGCAGGATTGCTCGACGATTGTTGTTTCATTGTTGATGATTGTGCGGATACTAAATTGTTTGACACCTGGCAGTTTAATGTCTTATTTCTTGGACGAAGCTGCCGAGACTTTTTATTTGTTCCTGGATTAGGATGTGTGTCTGTTGTGGTGGTAATGCGCTTATCGTCGTTTGTCGTCCGGGCTCGAGCTGCTGATCGTGTGAGGACATTGACTTCAGCAGTGTGTTCCTCATCGTCGTCAGATGTAGTGCCAAGCATCGACATCTTTGATAGATTTGGGCGTTGATAACTCAACTCAACAAGAGCCTTGATCGTATTCATCAACGATGTAATGCCATTGTTGTGAATGGTGTGCCCCAAATAATTTATAGTGGTTTGAAATAACGAACATTTAGGAGAGTTCAATGTAAAATTTGCCTTGTTTAAGACTGCTAAACTGTCATTCAATTGTTCTAAATGTTGTTGAAATGACTTGGAAAAAATAATGACGTCATCGATGTATACTAAACAATGATCCCATTTTTGGTAAACTAATAATTCATTCATGATGCGTTGAAATGTGGGTGGAGCATTTTTTAGTCCTTGAGCGAGCACATTGAATTTTCAATAACCATCTTGAATGATAAAAGCTGTTTTTTCTTTATCCTCCTCACGAATTGGGATTTGAAAATGGCCAGACTTAAGGTCTAATTTCGAGAAATATTTGTGACCACCCAGCCGATTAATTGTTTCACCTATATGTGGTAAAGGATAAGCATCTTTTTGGGTTATATGATTGATTTTTCTGTAATCTACACAAAACCTGGTTGATCCATCGGGTTTTTTCACTAACACCACTGGAGATGCCCATGGTGATGTTGAACGTCTAATGAGGTGGTCTTTTTCCATTTGTTGGATATGTTCTGATAACGTTTGTTGTTGATGGAGAGTTCTTGGAAAGGGACGTGAACTAATTGGCGAATGATCGCCTGTACGGATGGCATGTTGAATCTGTGTATTTGCTATCCTTTGTTTTCTTAAATCAAATAATGATTGATGTTTTAATAACATTGGGTATACTTCGTCTTGTTCTGCTTGAGGTAAATGATTCAGTAACGCCTTTATAGTGTTATGAATTTCAGTTGAAGTAGATGATTGATTTGATTTAACTTCACGAAGTTGTTGACTATGAGGTGATGCTTGGTGAAAATAGGGTAACTGTTGGTCCTTAACTAATAACTCCACCTCCACCTCGCCAGTAAAATGTATATTTGTTTTGTTGGCTAATTGGTATTAACAAGAGTTCCTTCTAATCGGTGCATGATGAATTTTTGATAATATTGATTGCCTGATGATGGAATTGGTTGCTCCGGTGTCCACTAAAGTTTTAACTCTTTTTCCATTTACCGGAATTCTAATAAATGTTAGTGATGATGGTTTTATGTTGTTACTGGTTCTGGAGACACCACTATCAGTCGGTGACCCCATTACTAAAAATGGTGTGAACATTCTCTGACATAATGGCCAGGTTGTCCGCAATTATAACAATTTTGTTGACTACGAATATTATTTGGTTGTTGCTGATATTGGTTCTGCCGACAATTGTTTGATTTATTGAATGATTGTGATAAATTTGTTCGAGACATTGATAAATTGGATTGCTGATTACGTGGTTGTTGGACTGAAGCTGTTGTGCCGTACTCATCAAGTTGTATATTCGATAATTTTCCTTGAATAGTCTCATGTTACTGCATGATGTTAAAGAACTGTTGCAGTGTTGATATCTGTCGGCTCAATGTATAGTGTTGTAATTCAGATCGTAAACCGTCTTGCAAATAACCAATTTTTGATGAGCCTAACATGTTAGGATCATATTGATCACATAAATTTAATATATCACGATATATTCTGATATCGTTTCATTTAATCCTTGTTTACGAGAAACTAACTAACGTAATTGTTCTCTCTGATTTGGTATATGTGTCGGAAACCGTTGTGATAATAATTGGTGAAATGAATCCCAATCTAAAATTTTATCTTGATTTTTGAGATACCACTTTTAAGCGTCACCCCTTCCAATTTTAAGGTTGCTATGCTAGATAACTGTTCAACAGTCCAATTAACCATGCTACCAATTTGTTTAATGTTTTCTAACCAATCTCGAACCTTTTCATTATCTTTACCACTAAATGTCGGCAATTGTTTCATCTTATGTTCAACCATTGTGATAAAAAAATCTTTCGTGAATGATGAATTCGAAAACTTTGTTAACGATGAGGGTTTATTGAGAGGTCTGTGAACGATAATTCTTTATTCAGAATATTTGTAGATGAGTTGTTTCGTCATCCAGTTGTTAGTTCAGTCAGTAATAAAGCATTTTGTGCTGGTATTGTTAGATTATTATTGTCGTTTATTTCGATCGTTTGCCCGGTTGTTGTAGTTGACATCGGAGTTGGTGTATATTGTTTTTTTAACATTTGACAAAATACATCCCAATCGTGAAATTTATTTTTATTGGCATTGTACCAACATAATGCATGATCTTTTAAATGTAATGCTGTTAATTTTATCCATTTAAATTTCGTATAATCAGCTAAATCAAATAATAATTCAATACGTTGTCTCCATGTTCGAGCATCTTCATTTATGCCACTAAAATCGACAATACTGTCTAATAAATGTTGAATATGTACTTGTGTTGCTACATTAAGTGAAGTATTGGTAATAACGCTGCTGATTGGTTATCATCAATAATACTTGGTTGTTGTTGCTGTAATAATAGACTATGATCCTTTACTCTGTTCGAACTTTCTAGTTTAAAGGCAAAATCTGATCTGACACATTTTGGTCCTAGACAGTATTTGACCCAGCAAATTTTTCCCTGGCCTCTAAAATGAAATTTCAGTATATAGAAATGTGCGCTAGCTCTTGCTCTATCGCTGCATCATGTTCAAAATGAAATTCAAAGGGTGGCAGATTTCGACCCAAATCCGGCGGGGTCCTTTAAAATCCGCAGAAAAATACTTATTCTTCTTCACAGTGTAGGTTCACTTTTGATATGAAAGTACAACCTTTGTTCCAACTCTGTAAGAATGCATCCGCTTCCAAGTTAGAAACATAAGCGTGAAGTATAGGCTTATTACCGTTTTGACGTGAAGTGGAACTTTAATTTCAATCTGAAAAGAATGAACCCTTCTTTCTAGTTAGCGGACAAGAAAGAAGCGTCCCTTTCCACCACTCTGACGTGAATGACATGACTGAATACCAGCAGTGAAAGAAAGCCAGAGGTTCAT